TTTTCCTGATTCGAAGGGTGTCTTCTGGCTTGCTTTCTGTGCCTTGGAACAGTGGAATTGCCTGCCAGAACCTTGATTTTTTCATTCGGTGTTCAGGAGTGACGTTTGCCAGAACCTTGATTTTTTCATTCGGTTCAGGAGCGACGTTTGGCCCGGGCAGAGGGACGGCAGGAGGCTGTTCCGTCACGCCGTGCCAGGGTGCTTTCCTGATTCGAAGGGTGTCTTCTAGGAGGCTGTTCCGTCGCGCCGTGGCTTGGTTTCTGTGCCTGGAACAGTGGAATTGCCTGCCAGAACCTTGATTTTTTCATTCGGCTGAGGAGTGAGGTTTGGGCCGGGCAGTGGGTAGAGGGATGGCAGGAGGCTCTTCGTTTCTAAGATAGAACCCCAACAGTATCAGTAAAATCACAAACGAACACAAAATCTAGCGTTAGTCACTCCTCGCAACCCACCTCTTGACTTTTACACAAGCACTTTTGCTCGATCTCCGCGCCTGGATTGGCTCTATACTCCCCTCCATAACAACATCTGCCTACTTCTCCGCGCACCTGCTCATGGATTGGCTCCACGCCTCTCCATTCCAGCGTCTTCCAGTAAAATCACTTGAGAGGCGGGGAACGAAAGCGATGACGACGACGATCGTCAAAACACCTTAAAAATAATCCCCTGACATGATGTTTGTGACGTCGTGTCCCTTTGGGGGGGGTCTATTGATTCACTTCACACGAAGTGGGGGGGGTGGGGGGCCCGTTTGCAGTGATTTTGCAATTGATCCCTTCGATTTTGACCCATCTAATCGTAAACTAGAACTTCAGCTGACCTCCTTCGGAGATCGCTTTCGTGACAAACGAACACAAAAGCTCGCTAAGATAGAACCCCAACAGAAAAATCACCAACGAACACGAAATCTAGCACCCACCTCTTGCCTTACACCATCACTCTACCTCGCCGCTGGCGGCACCACGGTGCATTGCGGCCTGGCTTAGCTCCACACTGCCCTCCATAACAACATCTGCCTACTTCTCCGCGCGCCTGCTCATGGATTGGCTCCACGCCTCTCCATTCCAGCATCGTCCGACTTCCACGCTTGTAGGAACTTCTGCTTCCAGAAACAAACAAATACAAAAACTAGCGTTAGTCTCACACCACCTCTTGGCTTCTTTGGAACAGTGTACCTCAACCGCGCAAAAACCACGGTGCATTGAGGCTGGCACGCAGATTGGCTCCATGCCTCTGCATACTAACACCTTCCTACTTCTGCACGTTCATGTCCACTTCTGCTGCCAATCGCAGACAAACACAGAATCTAGCGTCAGTGTCAAACGACCTCGTGCCTTCTACAAAATCATTCCACTTCTGCTCCCACTCACAAACAAAAACAAAATCTAGCATCATTCAGTCTCCAACCACCTCTTGGCATCACCCCGGTGCATCGCGGCTGGTTGCTCACCAAGCCTGGGTTGGCCTACTTCTCCGCGCTCGTTCAACTTGTGACGCCAGGCCCAAACGAGCGCAGCACATCGACCTAGTCTTCCACCACATCTTAGCTTGCAGCAGACCGTGGAGTGACCCTGCTTTCTATCTGCACCCCCCCTGCTCATGCCTGTTGCATCACCATGCCTTCTCTCTGCCACCCAGCGCCTTTACTTGCACCGTCCGCGCCTCCTCCTCAAAACCAAGCCCCATCCCTGCTGCGTCCTCCAGCCCCTTAACATCCACGTGCGGGTTCCACGTAGCCGATGCAGCACAGTGCGGAGTCACCGTGCCCTCTGTCTGCCCCACACCCTTCAATAACCGATGCAGCACGACGTGGAGTCCCCATGTGTTCTGCTCTACCACCTACCTCATCTCTTGCCTGCACCCTCTACTGGCGCCATGTCCCATTGCCACCCCAAGTAAACCTCCACATAGGGACCATAAGGACTCCATTCCTTCTGTTCTCCCACTTCATCCCTCTTGGCTGCACCCTCTACTTACCCCGTCCCACTGCCATAGCCCTGTCCCTGCTTCGTCCCTCAGCCCCTTAACATCCACATGGGGGTTCCACGTAGCCGATGCAGCACACCGTGGAGTCACCATGCATTCTGTCTGCCCCACACCCTTTATTTAATATCTCTAATGCTTACCCCCTCCCTGCCCCCTCCTCACATTGGGGATTCCACGTAGCCGATGCAGCACGCCGTGGAGTCCCCATGTATTCTTCCCTACCACCTACCTCATCTCTTGCCTGCACCCTCTACTGGCCCCACTGTCTGCCCCACACCCTTCAATATCTCTAATGCTTACCCCGCCCCCTCCTCACATTGGGGATTCCACGTACCCGATGCAGCACGCCGCGTGTTCTGCGCTACCACCCACGCGTCACCATGCCTTCTGTCCGCCCCACACCTCTTTTGTCTCCCTTCCTGGGGTCGGCGGCACTGGGCGGCAGCCCTTAAATTTGTAATTTGTGCATGTTTAGTCGCAGGCTTTGCCCTTGGCTGTAAAAAATAAAACATGAAAAGTTGTCGCAGCTCTCTCGTTCATCTCTTCTTCACGTCTTTCGACGTCTCGGCGTCCGACTTTCCGGCGGTCAAAGCTTGGTGACGAGCATGGACCGCCTGGGGCGATGGAGACGACAGAACGGCGGAGCAAGGGCGGCAATGCAGTTTGATGCAACGATGGCTTTGACGCATTGGCGACTTCCTTTGCTTTTCCTTTTTGGTTGATCAAATGTGATGGGCGGAGTGACGGGACCCATTGCGCCCCTTGTGCATGTCCCTGAGGATGGATAGAGTCTCACTGCAGTGAGGCTTACATCGATGTGTGCAGGCGCCCCAAACACCCCAAACCAAGAACAGTTGGAGGATGTCAAATCAAGAGGTGGCGATGTGCATGAGAGTAGTTCCAAATGGCAAACCGCAACAATGATTGGGTGCCAATTGGGTGCACTTGCGCATGTCTTCGCAACCTAAGAGGCCGTCATGCATCTTGTCTCTCTCTCTCTCTCTCTCTTCTCTCTCTTGGGTTGGGTGTAAGCTTTCCCTCCTGGCTCTACTAGTCCAACCGTGCTGTCCTTTTCAAATCCATCCCGGGCGTCGCGTAGTTCGCACATGTTGCATTCGATTCTTTTTCACCTACAAGCGACGCTAGACTAGACGGAGTTCCGTACGGCAAATCGTCTTTCTGTCCATCCGGTTCCGCTTTCCCCAAAGCGGAGATTTCAGTTCCCCTTCGTGTTGCGTCCAAATTCTCAAGATGAACTGATTTTGGAAGTAAGATGTAAGAGAACAGAGCTACAAGAACTCAACAAGAGCATCAAAATCTTAAAGTTCTACAACCTCCTCACTTGTTTAATTCTGTGATGGACTCACCACATCGTTGCCCTCTGCATGTTCGCGTGTTCGTTTCTGAGGCATCAACTACGACGACGTCATGAATGAGGCGCACCGGTGGGCGCTTGAAAATCCTCAAGGTTTGATTCTCCGCTCGTTTTCCAGATTCGCCGAGACACAAAAACAGTTGTTACTACTAGCTTCTTGTTACTACTAGTACGGCACTTGTTACTAGTAGCGATGCACTTGTTACTACTAGCTTCTTGTTACCAAACAGTTCATATCTCTGAAACGTTCTATAGAAGCGTCTTTCCTTTTCTGGCCTGTTCGGTGGCAGCGGGTCACCAGGGTCAAGTAACTCGGCAGAGATCGCTCCGGGTGGAAAAATCCATTCCATGTTTCTTCTGTGGGTCTTTCGAATTGAGTGCCCTTATTCTTCAAAAAACAGAGCACTGTGGATGTCTGGTGCATGTTTTACAGGCAGCCGTGCCTCTGCAAGCAACGGCCGAGTTGCTTCCCAATCACCACTGATGGGCCTAGCAGGCAACAGCGTGAACACGGTAGAGAACAAGAAACAAATCACATCACTTAACAAATCGCTACTAGGTTAGAGGCCATCGCTGGTAGGTTGGAGGCCGGTTGGTTTATGAGGGGGTTATTCGTTGAATTCGTTGTTTGCGATGTTTTTCATGTGCCTCCTTCCTTGCATCGCAAAGCTGCTGACCTAGGCATGTTTGGTGGTGCCAAAAAACAACAAAACAGCCAGAAACTCACAAGCTTTGCGGCTTTGGCCGTCTCAAGTTTCCATAAAGGAGGCTCAGGTCTCTTCCTTGAGGAAGCCTGAGCCCCTCTGCGTCCAATCCGTAGTAGCTTCTTGTTCGCTTAGTAGATACTACCTGCTTGTTATAGCTAACTTCGTATAGTGTGAGCGCTTCTTCAAGGAGGCAGCGGAGCTTCCTTGAAGTGTGAGCTATTCTTGGACGCATCTGTAGCAGCTTACCTAGTAGTTTGTGTTAGCCCCTATAGTTTTTGTTGAGGGTGGAGACCGAATCGACATTCGCTTTGTCAGAACCCGCGCGCGGTCGACTCGTCGGCGCGGTCGACGCTAGGCTGTCCACCCAAATAGCTTTGCCCAAGTCCACCTGTTAGAGCCGAGAAAGCATAGCACAGTCGGTTTCACCACAATCGCGCCTGGACGTACTCTGAGCTTGAGTCTTGAATGGGACTCCAACCTGAAGAGCTTGGATGTTTCGCATTCAAAGAAGGAAAAAGGCTTTCTGAAGAGTTGTTGAATCAAACTGTTACTAAGAGTTCACTAGTAGGGTGGAGGCCATCGCTCTTAGGTTCCTGTACTAAGTAACTAAGTGACCAAGCGGTGATTTTAGCAACTCTCTTTCTGAGCTCCGAGGCCAGCAAACGCTGACTTCATCCGATCCACACCACCATAAAGCCGCAGGGAGCTGCAAGCCTTGCATCCGAACGATTCACTCGTGCGTGGCATCGAGAGAGAGAGAGAGAGGTAGAGAGCTCCTAGTAGTGTCCTCTTGCTCCGTTCGTAGCGATGCCCTTTGCTCCTAGTAGCTTCTTGTTACTACTAGTAAGGCACTTGCTCCTAGTAGCGATGCCCTTTGCTCCTAGTAGCGTCCTTGAGATGTAGAGAGAGAGAGAGTGTTTTCAAAGAAAAACTCTTCCTAATGGCTCACAAGTTCCCACCACCATGTGTTTGCGAAGAAATCCAAGAAGGCACGCCGGTATCGTGGGCTCTTTAGGATTCTCAGATTCGTGGGCGTCGCTACTCGCTGCAAGAACAAGGTTTCTCTTCAAAGAATAAGGGATACAGTATGTTTCATGGTTGAGTGGGAAGCTTGAATGGAGCATAGCCAGGCACCCCGGTCTGATGCATGATCCCTTCCCCAGCCCGTTGTTTGTGGCAAAAGCCAAGGGTGCTGGAAATACAATGAGAAGGCCTGGTGGCTCTTGTCCATGTTTGGACAGTTACCCTGGCTCTTTGGGTATGACAGTTGCTCTGGACGTTGCGCTGCAAAGTGTCAGCTTGTGGCAAAACCTCTGTGCTCCCAAGTGACTGGCTGAGAAGTTTCATGAGACCAAACTCAAAGCATAGAAATAAGTGGAATGCCACTTTGTTCTGCGTTAATGTCCCAGTTGAGGGTGATCGACCATTGTTCAAGCATGCATGAGCTGGTCACGAGGAAACTCCATGAGCTGAGTGAGTCCGTGGAGTGAGTGACTGTAGGATGTGTGCGCACCCCTCTTCCAACCCTCACATTCGCTGTGCACGGATGAAAGCGCATGACAGATTCCAAAGCACTCCATATAGAAATCACTTTGCCGAGCACTTGGAGTCAGCATGTTTCATCAGTGAAACACTCTGTCCAACACCTCCTTTTCCTTTTCCTTTCGCGAATACTAAGTCCAGGTGGACTTGCGGTTCAAGGCATGCACATGTCGCTGATGCCTAGTGGTGATAATCTGGCTGGATCTCATCATGACCTTTGGTCACTCCAACCCTACGCAAAGCATTAAGCTCCTCACTCAGGCCTCCATCGTGTGCCTTCAAATGCAGACTAGCGACAAAGTCCGCGAAAGCTTCTGCCACGACGTAGTTAAGCCCTGCAGGGTAAACCTTGGCACCTGACGTACGGAAGCGCCCATTGGCGCGACCCGCCAGACCCACGTGAGCCCCTGGTCCGTCCACGTCCATTGGACAGCACAAGCTCCCTGAACGAGGGCATTCTCCCCACCAGAAAGGTGGTCGGCTTAATGCCACAGGCGCCGAACACACACTGGTCAAAACTGGTGGCACTGACGCATTGGAGTTGCGCCAGTTTCTGCAACATCGAAGTTCTCCAAATGGCCCCCCAAGGTGCTCTCCGATCACGTAGTGGAGGAGGGCCTCCTCCAAGCCACCGTGCTGCTGACCATGTCTCGCAGGGAGGTCCCCCTCCTATGCCAAGGACTTCTGGACCGAATTCGATCCTTCCACCACTCTACCTTGACAGGCGAAAGAAGATCACCCTGTTCACCTTGAAGACACAAGTCCACGCTAATGCAGAAAAGCTCGACTCCTGCATTCCAAGCATGATTCTCTATGTGATGGTGCAAGTCACCATCTCTTCTGTATCCAGAGTACAAGTGAACAAAGACTACTGTGCTGACTCGAATGCGTGCATCAAGAACAGACACTGATTGCTCACGAAACACACCTGCTGCCCCTTCAAGCGTGCCATGCACTTGCTGGAAGACATAATGCTTGTCATCGAACTCTTCAGGGACTGCCAATTCTACCTCAACACAGTCTTCTATTCTCTTCCATTCACCCGAAGGGTGCCTCCACGTACCATGCGGTCCTTGATGGATATGCGAAAAAGTAGATGGACACGCCAGCTGAGTTGCATAAAGAAAAGCCTCGCAATGGGATGTAGCAGGTCCTTGCTTCTGGACTCCCCCATTCCCAATGAATTCCGAGGTATTGGCACCAAGGGTAGCATTGCAGTCAAGGAAAGCGACAATTCGTGCTTGCTTGGGGACCTGGCTGCAGATCTCTGCAAGTTGCTTCCACCATGTTCGAACACGATCATGTGTTTCCGAACCTCCCCAGTACGGTGCATGCCCAGAGAGAAAAACCCAACACCCCAATGGGTTGTCGACACGCACCATCAACAACCTGGGATCTTGATGCAATACGACCACATTGCTGTGCTGGAAACTGATGTCAGCCTCTTTGACCCATGATCTAGTTCTATGGAACCAAAGCTCACAACCATATTGCCTTGCCGAAGAGGGCACGGCTGAGCCAGCACTGAAGATTTTATAATGTTCGGTGAAAGAAACACCTTCATCCGTGCGAGCCTCTTGGAAACCAGCGAGATGAATGCCTTTGGCATGCATCTGACAATCCATACGGAACGATTTGTCGCCTCCCCTACGACCCCATTGGTCGAATGTTGAATCATCAATCATGGAGAGCACGTTATATGAAAGACATTTCATGGTCAGCTGGTGACTCTGAACCGGAGCAAAGCGTGGCAATTCTAACGGAGCACAGGTGGCCTTTGGTACAATACCAACTTGCCAACAACCTGCATCAGACATGGGAAAGCATGCTTTCTGGCATTATTGTGCAAGATCGGCCACCAGTGGAGTTGTTGCTCATGCGTGGCCAATTCATTCAACCACTCAAGATCAGGCTTACCCAAATCGTGATGCGCTACTGCAAAAGCTGCCACTGAGTCAGCCAGCTCGTTCCAGGCTTGCCCAACATGGGCTTCGACCCGAAGAGATACTGCCAGACCTTTTTGCCGCGCAAGTTTCCCAAGATTCGAAACCATCGAAGTGAGGGGCCTGTCTTTCCTGAGAGCCACTAATCCATCCAGCAGCTGACACGAAAACTGGAGGTCAGGTCTGACCGCCACTTGAACATCAAGATTGAGCGATAATGCATAAGCGATAGCTACAAATGCTGCAGCTAGCTCAGAGTCCACATTGTCGTTGTGCGTGGCCCCAATCCACCCCGCATCACTTGCATCGTAGACTTGGCGAGCAGCACAAACACCCTCAAACGTTTCACGTGTGTCACCTTCGCATTTTCCAACTATTGTCACTACCATTCCCCACGCTTGCCCTTTCACACTTGCCGACCCATCAACATAAATGACACACTGGCATTCCGTCATTCCCTTCCTATCAGTCTTGACTCGGCCAAGTGCGCATGCCGTAGCAGGGTGAACCTTGATACCGTCTGGCAGACCAGTTAATGGCTGAACCCACAGGGCATGAACTCGGTCATTCCAGTGCGAAGGCAAGTCGAGCGCAATCTCTCGTTTAGTGGATGGGTATAGGAGAGTTTCCAGAGCAAGGATAACAGGGGCGTGCTCCTCATCCCACTGAGAGAAGCCTTCTTGACACTCCTGCTTCCTGCTCTTACACGGTTCAGCCCATTCAAAATCTACCTTCTGCCCCCATGCACGGACTCGAAAATCATCTTGAACTAATGGGTGCCGGGGTGTGGGCCAAAAATCAATTGGCAGATCTCCTGGGCCGTTGTGTCATAAGCTGAGTACACAAAGCAAACTTGCCCGGTCGTGATACAGTGCAAGGCAACTGGCAACACTTCACGAGTAGCATCACCTACCACAAAGCCCTGACCCAGATCGAACAGTTGCATCGGAATGAGCACAAAAGGGTGCTCCAACTTTCTCTGAAAGCAAGCCGGGTCTTGACTCCAGAAGACCCCATCAGGAGTATGAATCCAACAGGGCTCAACTGGCCCTCTGCCTTCATGTGCTGCTTGCCTGGCAAGGGTTGTCCTGCCCATCAGGCCCTGCAAGACCCTTGAACATGTCCTTGAAGTGGCTCATGAAAGGGTTACCCATGCATGGGTCATGACACTGCGCACCATTAACCTCAATACTAGCATTGAAGGCCACTTGTCTCGCTCGACCATTACCAGGAAGCGGTAGGTAAGCTTGGGCGACTTGCGCGAAACTCGGTCTTGCTGCTGATCCCATGGACGCCAACACACTCAACTCCAACGAGGTGTTATTGGAGGCTTCAAGTCCACTGGGCGATCTACTAGCAAGGATGACTTTCCTTTGCAAAAGGAAAATGCCCTCTGCTCTGCCCCTTGGGAGACTTCCAACTTCTGCATGATAATCATCAGTGTTGTTAGCATTTGGAGCAGGCTCAAAAGGCCACGTGTCATCATCACTAGAACGGCTTCCCCCCTGATTGGAACACGTGCTTTGTGAATCTGTTCGCACTGGCGCTGTCTCATGTAGTTCGATATTGATGCCCGCATGCACTGGGACTTGCACGCCCCACCCAAACACTTGCTGGCCTACACGAACTTCGCATTCGTTTGCCCAAACGCATTGATGCCCTTGGACTAGAACGTCGAAAAGCCTTTGCACTGTTGGGAAACGAAAAGTACGCAGCAAAAACGTGCCTTGGAAGCTATAGCGAACGGTGTCCACACTGTGACAAACATGCCCACATAATCTTCACGATCCACTGGAAGCAGCAAGAGAACCGGATGGTACCCATGCACAGCCTGAGTCCTTGGCTGCATGGTGTAGATCGTCACATCGGGTCGCACTTGATGAGAGGCCCAGGCCACTAGCATTTGATCACGAACTGGCCTCGCTACATCAATTACCGTGGACTGAAACACCATGGACCAACTATCCCTTTTGTCCCATGTATGGAGCCATGAGAAAACTCTGAGACTGCGCATACGATATGCAGACAAGACATACGGGGCTAAAGCATCTTGCGGTGCTCCTACCACGATACGAGAGGCTGCTGGCATAAGCGACATCCCATCGTCAATGGGTACTGGTAGTTCAACATCATAAACATCATCAGTGCACGGGCGTATCTGATCAATCTGCACTACTGTAGCAGGAATCCACTCCACCATGTAGTGATGGTGCACCAAGATACCATCAA